CTAGCCAGGAACAAACACAAATGGCCATGTCCAAGGACGAGCTTCTCAGCAGTAATGTACCTCTTAAGGTGTTTTCTTTCGGTGTTGAAACAAACACAAGGCACGGGTAATGGAATCATGAATGATGGATCAGGGGAGATGGGGGCTCATCCACGACATAGCTTGGGGGAAGAGCACTTTTGAAGGGGGAAGGGTGGGCAGAGAGATGGTTCAATGGCTAAGAGCAGGTCCAATTGCCAGCATGTGTGCTTACCACCATCTGTAATTGCAGTTCCAGGGCATCTGATGCTCTCTCTGGTCTCTGAGGGCACTGAATGCATGTGGTACACAGATATACATGAGAGCAAAACACCCAGACATATAAATATAAAAACGTGTGTTTGTGTATTTTAAAGCTGAGGCCGGAGGGATGGTGACTCAGCAGCTAAAAGTACTTGTTGCTTTTCCAGAGGAAAGGGGTTCAGTTCCCAACACCCACCTGCATGGTGGCTTACAACAATCCAGTTAAGTCCAGTTCCAGGGCATCTGACTCCCTCTCTGGTTTTAAGTGCACCAGACATTCATATGGTGGACATACATACATGCAGACAAAACATCTGTGCACATACATACAAATAATTTTTTAAAGCTAGTGTAAGCATCTCTTATTATTTTATATATGAATTACCTGGAGTTCAAAAAAGTTAATTTAGTCAGCAAAATGTTGACAACAAGATCTAGGTTTTTCATTTGTATTATAATTGGGCACTTCGAAACCTATCCCTGCTTATGAATTCAATGCACAAAAAGTGAGGCAGGTGACAGATATGTGCAACTTGTCTTTCACCTTGGAGGCAACTAGGTCCCTTTACAACATTTGGGGGTGGGGTGGGGAGTACTTTATAATGTGGGGAGAAACTCCCAGCAATGCTTCCATGTTCAAGTCACGGGGTGCTTTTGGGTTTTGGGTGCTTGGAATTTAATGCACCATTTACCACGAAGTTTCTGTAAGGCACAGATCTGTTCGTTCCAAGAGTAATCAGTTACCAGTTAACAGCAAGGGAACTGGAAAGGTCTGCGTTAAACCAGCTAACCCTCCAGAAAAATTCAGAGCTAAGAAGGTATTTTTCCCTCTTGGTTGGAGAGTGAAAAAATCTCAGGTTCTTGTGATCTATCAGAGGTAGGACAATTCCTGTGGAAACTGGGCCGTTATCCAGTCTTAGTGGGCTTCCGGGTGTGAGCTTTCCTCTCGTCCTCCTCCTTCCTCATCCTGAGATGAATTAATTTAAAGGATGAAAGTTTATGCTGCCTCACGGTCTCAAGGGTTTCATCCCTCCATCACTTGGCTTTGCTGCTTTGGGGCCTGTGGTGAGGTAGGACTCCACAGTGGAAGAATGTGGTGGAGGAAAGCTGCTCACCTCATGACAGAGGGTGGAAGCTAGACTCCCAGCATCCTCTTCTAGAACAGAACAGGCCTGCATCAGTCTAGTAACACTTCCTCCAACAAGACCCCAGCTGTTCATGGTTCCACCTCCTGGAGGCATCATCAACAGGACGCCAAAATGTCATCAGGGCCTGCATCCTTTATCCATACTTTTTAACTTGTCAAAGTTTCAAAACAATCTAGTTATTGTTTCTGAGAGAGGGTCTCATCCTTTAGCACAGACTGGCACAAACTCACAGAGATCTACCAGTCTCTGCCTCCTGAGTGCTGGGAGTAAAGGTGTGGCCACCACACCTGGCAAAGGCCTAGTTTTAAAAATATAACTGGCAGTGATGAAGTTGATTTGAAACAAACTGGTATGAACTCATGGACAGTTCTTTTTTATTTCAACATCTAGGACAACAAACCCTTTCTCTCTCTGCTGCAGTTTGGATGTGGTTTGTTACCTAATGGTTCACATGTTGGAGCTTTGGCCTTGGTGTAGTGGTGTACTGAGGAGAGGCCTGTTAGGAGGTCGTTAGGGCACTGTGGATACTATCCTTGCAGGTCACAAAGGCAGTTTTCTTGGGACTTCCATTAGTTCTCATTAATAAGAGTTATAAAACAGAGTTTGCCTCTCTGGCTCACAGTCTGTGATCAGTCTTGCCGGTAGCATAACCTTGACATTGTGCTACCACCTACCTCAGAGGAACGCTGTTTAGTGGCTTTCTCTGCTCGGTTTATGTAGTTCCTTTCTTACACAGCCCAGACTCATCTGCCTAGGGATGGTACAGCCCACAGTGGGCAGAGCCCTTGTACATCAATTAGCAGTCAAGAAAATGTCCCACAGACATGCCCACAGCCTAGTCTGATGGAGGCAATTACTTAATTGAGATTCCTTCCTTCCAGGCATATATAGGTTTGTGTCAAGTTGACAAACCTGACACTGTGGCTTCCAGAGCCATTAGCTAAATAGTTCCTTCCCATCCTCACCTCTCTTGCAGTTTCTTTTGTCTTCCAGTGCTAGAGACGAGCCCAGACCCTGCACACTCCAGACTATCCTATATATACCCTATATCCCAGCCAACCTCCTCTTGTCCATACATTTTCCAGCCACAGGGATGTTATAGCAAAAAAAAAAAAAAAAAAAAAAAAAAACCCAAAAAAACAAAAACAAACAAAACAAAACAGATCAATACACCCAAGGTTAAAAAAACTGGACTACAGTCTTTTATATGAATTATACAGGACCAAAAACATATGGATTCAAAATTTCTCTGACTTTAAAAAGTAACATAATTTACATAATATACACTTTGGACTAACCCTTGGTGGAATCTAGGACAATACTCTATATCAAATGCATTTATATTTTATGGTAAAACATAAATGTTTGAGAGGAGTAGCATAAATGAGATTATATATATTCAGTTTCAGGACAACTTTATCATTAAGGATTATTATTATTATTATTTGTTTTTTTGAGACAAGGTTTCTCTGTGTAGCCAGCTGTCCAGGAACTAGTTCTGTAGACCAGGTTGGTCTCGAACTCACAGAGATCTGCCTGCCTCTGCCTCCCATTGCTGGGATTAAAGACATGCACCACCAACAACCAGTTTAAACAATTTTTTTTTGAGCCAGGAGAGCCTTGAACACAGTTCTTTTGCTTCAGATTCCTGTGTGTTCTAATTGTAGGCATTTGTTACCATGTCAGGCTTGTTCGGTCATCCCCTTCTCTTGAAGCACTAAAAATATGTAAATGAGGGCCAGGGAAGTAGCTCTGTGTTGGAGTACTTGCCTAGTAGGTTCAAGTCTTTGGATTCAATCCTCAGAACTACACATAAAAAAGTGTATGGTATCATCTTGGTTCATGTTCAACATTTAAACTTAAAATTGTGTGTGTGTGTGTGATAGACATGTTGATTAGCTTGATGTCAAGGAAAACACACTTTTCTCTTAACTTCTCAAGGCATCACAGAGACCAGCCCTCCAAAAATAAAGCCTTGAAAAGTTACAGGAAATAATCTTTAAGTTCAGGGAAGAACATGGGGTCTTACGGGTGGGAAAGGCAGTAAAGGGAACAGAAAACTGTCTCGTGTGGGAGAGAGGGTGTACTACAACAAAATACCCTTGAGTTATACAAGCTTGGCTTGGGAGTCCCAGAGACCCTGAGAGGATGGAAGTACACAAAGATACAAAGAGGTAAAGAGATGCAGTTTTGGGATTATAATTTATTGCCTAGCCCAGTAATAAAAGCAGTGTGCACTGTTATCTTTGAATGCTGAATTCATTCACATGCAGTACTTGTGAAATACCAGAAGTCATACATAATGTCTGACCCCAGCTGCCACCTCATACAGCAAACATGTACATAGGAGCTTTAAAAAGATTGACTGGTCTAGTGTCCTGCAGTAGCAGGAGACCACTTTTGTCTCTCAATTGGGTTTCCAATGACTCTCACACTCCCTCCTTTTCAGACATACAAAAGGTTTCTTGTAAAAGTTTCTTGTAGGCCGTATTGTTGGCTGACACAGCAGCCGTGCCACAGGCCTGGTGGAGTCACAGAGTGTGATTTTTTTGACTGGCGTCTTCAGATTCTTTTTTAATACAGCTGAAAATTTCCTCATGAGCTATAAATGAAAATGTGTACTGGTTCAGATGTTTTATTAGCCCACTCTTGCCTGTGATGGACCAGCTAGTGTTGGCAGCAACTTTCTCATACAACCACCAGGAACAACAGCTCCCCTCCTCTGGCACACTACCTCTAGTGCCCTGGGGTCCCCCCTCCACACTTCGACAGCAGTATCGTTGCAGTGCGCTCTGTGATCTTCGTATGATGAAGCCTGGCCTAGCACCCTAAAACTTTACAAGAAACTGGGATTAGCTATAGTTGTACAAGTTTAAGTTTGATTGTACACTAGGGGCTGGAAGTTGGCTTCCAAGTCGAAGGACATAGGTTTGAATGCCCATTCGGGCTTATACCTCGTGATGTTTGGTCAATTTTCTATAATACCATCTTTACCAGGCTTCTTAAAGCTGTGAAGAGGTGCACAGACACATGGACCCTGTGACTGCATCCCAAACTGTCCCTGCGACTAGCCCCGCTAGGGTGCCCTGGAGGACCTCACCATCCTGTAGGGGGCGAGATATCCACAGTCGTTTTGCTTGGCTTTTCTTTGAGGTTCTGGTGGGGGAGTTTGGGGAATCTTCGCCTAGGGGTAGGTTTGGGGAGCAGAGGGTGGGTTTCATTTTGGCCTGGGGACCGGAGGTAGGCGGGGGCAGAGTGGAGTCCCGGGTCTCAGTCCTTGCCCACAGGGGAATGTGCGCTAGGACTTCGTCTGGCTCTGCGGGGCCCGGGAACCGCAGCCCGGGAGTGGGGCTCGCCCTCGAACCCCTGCATACCCCAAAGGCAGACACAATGCGGAGGCCCGCAGCGGCTGGCGGGCTCGGAGCGCGCACCTCCCACCTTCCTGCGGCTTTCGCTTCCCGACGGCGCGGTGGCGGCGAGCGCGCCGATTGGTGGCCGGGCCTACGCCCCGCCCCTCACCGCGCCCCGCCGGCCACCGCCCCCTGGCCGGGACCCGCCCCTCTCCGCGGGAGGCGTCGGGGCCCGCGGCTGGGTGGCGGGCAGTTCCCGCCAGCTGTGCGCGCCCGCGTCTGGGCTCGCTCGGAGAGGACGCTGCGGCGGCGGTGGCTCCCGGAGCACAGCGGGCAGAGCTGCGGGCTGCGCGCGCCCCTGCTCCCGCCGCGCGTCCCGCCGTGGCTCCCGCGCCCTGCGGCGGCTCCCGCGCCCCGCGCTCCCCTTTGTCCGCGGCCCGGAGCGGCGGCGGCGGCGGGGTCGGAGCCCGCGCCCTGGGCGACTGAGGCGGCCGTAGTCCGCGCCCGCGCGCCGCGGCGATGCCGGACCAGATCTCCGTGTCGGAATTCGTGACCGAGACCCATGAGGACTACAAGGCGCCCACGGCCTCCAGCTTCACCACGCGTACGGCCCAGTGCCGGAACACCGTGGCGGCCATCGAGGAGGTGAGCGGCAGCCTCGGCGGTGCGGTGCGGGCGGCCCGGGCCGCAGAGATCGCGCTGCGCCCTGGGGACCCGCAGGCGTCCGCGCCTGCTGCCTGCTGCCCGGTGCCCGCCGCCCGCGCCCACATCCGGGAAAAGTTTCTGGTCCCCCAGAGCCGGACGCGGCCGGGCCAGCAGTGCCCGACACTGAAGCCCTTTGTTCCCAGAGAGGTGGCTCTGGGGAGAGGCTGTTTGGCCACCTTGGGCCTTTTTGGGGAAACCCTCCTAACATGCTCTCATTTCCCTCGCAGGGTTTCAGGTCCTTTGCTCCATACCTCAGCGAGGTCAACTTCGACCTCAGAGTCTATGGCGGCTGCGAGCCGGGGACCCCTGCGCGCGCTGCAGCCCCGGGTGATGGGTGCCCCCCCCTCCCCGCGCGGACCTCACCAACTTGTTCCAGAAGTGGCCCGGCGGGGGCAGCTGTGCTCCCTGAGCCAGCAGCGGAGCAGGTCCAGGGGACCCCGAAGCTGCTCTGGCAGGGGTGCCATCCCAGTCCGGGAGGCCTGGCAGCTCCCACTGCGTACTGCAGAGCAACGCTGCCGGGGAGGGCGAGAGCCATCGCTTTGAGGTCCGAAAGGCCTTTGGTGGCCGCTCCTGGGCTACCTGTGTGGTGCCTGTGGGCACCATGGTCATCTCCCATGCCCCTTACCTGGAAAAGGCCTGATTTTACTAAGGGCTTTCAAGGTGCACAGTCATTGTATTGAACTGCTAAGCAGCGAGCTCTCCAGATCTCGGGGAAGAGGGATTGCACAAGCCAAGCAGCTTGGGTTGAAAATTAGAGCAGACTTGTAAGGGGCTGTGTGAGTCCTTTGGCCGCGGCTGGCCCTGTGGCTTGGGACAGCCACACTTCCATCATTTTCTTCACCTTCCAAACCAAATACAGAGTCACACCTCTTCGGCTTCCTAGCTTTTGTGCGCTCATCAGAGCTCACAATAGGTCACTGGCGACCAAGACACCTGGTTAGCAGTAGTGAACCGATGACCACATTTATTTTGGCCAGAATTTTAAGATTGGGGTAGATATTTTAAAATATCCATGCCAGGATTCCGGAGTGGGGGGTGGGGAGTTGGTCTTCAGAGAGCATTAAATTAAGCATTGTCATTAAATCCTTTCCCCCTTGCTTAAACGCAGCATCTACTGTTAAGAATCACTTGAGGAAAAAAAAAATCTAGATTGTTTAGTGTAAGATATTTTTCTTTGTAGACCTACACAGTCAAGACTAGACTCAATGGAAAATACTAGATTCAGCTTCCTGCTGTTGCCCCCTCTTTCCTTTCTGTCTCCCCTCTTCCAAAAGATAAGCTTGTAAATCTTTTGTAATGAGTTCAGCGATGTGCAGATTGCTTTATTCTACTCTTGTCAGTACAGCTTAAACCCTTTAAGATGAGGCAGGTGGGATGAGGGATGGGGAGTCCTGTGTCTCCCCCCACATAAATGCCAGTTGGAAAGTCACAGTATTTTCAAAATATGTCATTAGTGCTTGTGGAAATGATTGCATTAAAAAAAAGGTAGGAATCCTTCTTTGGGAAGGGACTTGGTGTGTGATGTCTTTAAAAGAAAGTGTGTGTTTATAAAGTTACCTTTTCCTCACTGCAGTGTGTCACTTAAATATTATTGACACTGGCAGATGTTGGAAAGCCAGGTAGATAGGAGTTGTGATTAAAGTTGGCATACCCTCTCTCTGATTAATTTTAGTTTACAGCGGATGAATCCAAAGCTGCTTTTGCATGCAATGCAGATTACCCAAGAGCTCAGTTACTGAGTAGATTGAAGAGAGGCCGGATTTGGTCATTTTGTTGAATTGCAGGCTTGCTTCTCATGCCTTCTAAGCGAGAGAATGGGTTCAAGCTGCAAATAGGGAAAAATTAAAACTGTTGCAGGCATCTCATTTTAAGCAAACCCAGTATTCGATCTAGGATAATAGTGAGTATGAACTTGGAGTTGGAGGTAATTTAAAAGTTGAAAGGGCTCAGCTTGGATTGCTTAAAATCATGCTCTTCCTGCTCCTGGATTACTGTTTACTTTTCATTACACAAGATTGTTCTGTGTCTAATGTAATAACAGATGATGCTCACTATACTTGGATTTCAAGCTCACAGCTCTTTTATGCTGAAATGAGCGTGGGTATTGTGACACACATAAAGTTACATATTTCACAGAAATAAAATTTAAAAATTTAAGCCTCTCTGGTCTTCTGTATAAGTGAATTCTGGATTCAGTAAACTGACTTAAAACTGATTAACCTTGGCAAACCTGTTGGTTTCCATGGAGGCTATGTCTGGTCATAGTCAGTTTCTGACTGAAATAGACTTTCTTGGTTTGCATACCTGTAGTGAGAGTATCTGCAGCTAGCCAGCGCCTGACTGTATTTCATACTGATGTTATACCTGTTGTGTTGAATCTCTATCCCTGGTTTGTAGATGAGGAACGTGAGGCTAGGGGAGAGTGATTTTGAACTTGGCTCCATGCTGCTTTAACAGACTACATGGCTTTTTATTTTATGTTTAGTGATGGTGCATTCTCTAAATGGTCCCCTTGCCAGACCAGCCACCTTCAGGTCAGGTTCCATCACTTTCCAGTTGTGTGGATTGTGATGGCTCCCCTTCCCCCACTTCCTTTTTCCATTTTTCAGTCCTGGATAATCATGACTATTTCTGAACACTGTGGTACAGTACCCAACAGACAACTGACTTATTAAATGCTGTTTTACCAGATTTCACTGTAGTTAATATATGGCTCCTGGAGGGAGAAGGGGGCAAGAGGAAGGAAATGGGCAAATGGCTGAAGGCCTAGGAGTAAATGGAAAATGTTGTCTGTGTGTGTGTGTGTGTCTGTCTCTGTGTGTCTGTCTGTCTGTGATGTGTCTGTGTGTTGTGTGTGTGTCTGTCTGCGTGTGTGTCTCTTTCTCTGTATGTGTCTCTATATGTGTTTCTCTGTGTGTGTGTGTTTGTCTGTCTGTCTCTGTGTATCTGTTTGTGTGTGTGTGTCTGTGTGTGTCTGGTGTTCACAGGTACACTGGATGGTTTGTGTGCTGATTAGGCCAGAGGTTGACATTGGATGTTTTCCACAATCAGTTCTCCATCACATTTCTCTGCTTCACCTCTTGGGGTGGGGGTGGGGGTGGGGTATAGCTACTGTCCTAAGGTTTTACCTGGGTCCTGGGGACCACACCCAGGTTTACAAGCTTGTGTGGCAAGCACTGTACCTTCTAAACCCCCTGCCCTCATAATTTCCTCTAACAAGTTTATTGTCTTGGTAGCTGGGAAAGTGTGGCTGGTTTGAAACTTCACTTGGTGACAACTTTCTCTGGGTGAAGTAAGTGCGGAGCCACATCTGGTGTCAGCTTTGTGCTTTTGAAAATAAGTAACTGTGGCATAAATCTGAAAACTGAGCTGCCCCCTCAAGCTCTGTTTGTGTATCTTAGTTTCTTTAAGCCTCTGGTTACTTCAAAATACTCTCGAGACAGAGCAAACTCATGTGAGCTCTTGGAATGTCCGTGTTGTCAGTGAGGTGAGCCATCCATCATTGCTGCATCCACTCTGCCTTGTTTCTTTGGCTGTAGTTTTTAAAAATAAATTTGATATTGACTCTTAAGTATTAAAATTTAATCTACTTCCTTCCGGGGCCTTGATTCTCTGACTCTGTTGTCCGTGGTTACCTTGGAAACCTCTTTGCTTCTGTAACTGAAAAGGGAGACCGAACATCTGGACTGTGCACACTCCCAGGGGCCCGCTGTTCATGGGGCCAGGTTCCGCTCAGCCGTTCCAGTGGGAACTGGCTTTGCTTTTGATTCTGAGTTGTGACTTGTTTGTAAACCAGCTCCTTCAAAATCCCAGGCTAACAGATTTTTGGATCCATGGTCAGAAGGATGCCACATCTATCCCAGGATATTTGTGTTCTTGGAAGGGAGCCTCTATAGGCCAACAGGCCACCATGTCATGCGGCTCTGAGGTTTGCACTGATGTATCTGGACCATTTTGAATCAGTTAGACTCAAACTGTTCCCCCACCCCCCAGCTGAATTCAATTTTTCTTTTATGATTAGTCATAAAAACACTGCTAATGCCCCTCCTTGTGGATTCTAGATCTTGCCACTGTTCTTTTTGGGGTCTGTGGAATCCTGCTGTGTGCAGGGTGAAAAGATTAGAAATCCCTTCTCTTTGAATAAGAGTGGAAGAAATATTCTCCAGACAGATTGGTGCACTCGGGTGACCAGCCATATCTATGCGGACGTCTAGGGTGACCAATGTGTGCAGCCCAAGGCTGGGACTGCTTACCTGTGGTCAGGGCTATGGGTAGAGAGCATGTCACACCTTGAATGGAGGTGTGTCACAAGTGGCTCCAAGATGGTTTAATCCACTCTTCCATATCTGTGTCCCTACCTTTGGTAAATATTTACCCACTACTGAGCTGGGGACCAGCCAGGCCTTTGGTGGGATTTTCATATCTGTCCAGTCTGCTTTAGCCAAGAATGTGTAGATGCCTTTCATGGTGGGGCACATATATTCTGTACTGTTGGCCCAAAAGTGACAGCAGCTCCTTGGCTACATGAGTCTATCCCGAACACCACCTGGTAGCCACATGGATTAACGGTGACTGTGTTGAATGATGCCGAGTTAGAACTTTTCTGTTCTACATACTTGCTGAGAGTTTCGTCGGTGAGCGCTGTTTTAGACCCTTGAAATGCCACAGAGCTTCACCAGACGGTGTCAGCATGGTATGGAACTTGCAGACAGCCTCAGCTCCCATTTGAGGGCTGTGGAGTCAGAATCTGCATTTTAGCAGCACTCCCAGGAACAGTGTGTGCATTGAGGTTTGCAAGTACTGCTGTTTTGGGCTGCTTGAGTCCTGGCCATGTTTCAGAGTTGCCCGGTAGGGGGAGGGGGGATCTTGTGGACTGGAAGAATCTGGTCCTGCTCTCCCTAATTCTGATCTGATCTGAGTTGGGCGAGGCCTGGAGCCTC